ACTTGTACACTTTTACAGACTTTGCGTTGATGCTGCTACTAAAGTGAAAAACTAAAATCAATGCACTTTTGAAAAGTGAAAGGTACATGTGTAGGTACTTAATATTCTATAAGTCAAATATTGCATAATGAGTAGAACTCAATTATGCGCTCATGTAACGGGTCCGATATATATTCATGTGACAATTTTTAATGTTTCCCTGACAACCATTAAAGTCGAGCCCGACAATAAAAGCGGCGGCAGCCGAAAAAAGGAGGATTGGAGTGGTGTTGTGCGTATCCTGACCCTTCTCTCTCTCAAACCAGAAATCCTGCATCCTGCAACCCCCGTCCATCGTTTCACGAAGATCCATACGACAGGCAAGAGTGTTGTGACAGTTTTTGCCGGCGAATAATAAAAATAAAAATATATATATTTCATTTTCCATGGGTTCGGGGTTTTTTGGATTCGGGGTTCTGGGATTCTGGGTTCTGGAATCATTGCCATTTTCTGGCTATTTTGAAATTGATATATGCATAAACCGCAATGACAGATGTTGCAATTAAAACCACCACCATCATACCCATATCCTGGCATATCCTGCCAGGATATATACATATATATAAAGCGTGAAAAGTGCGCGCTGTCAGCTTGACAGGCGGACAGCTCAATTGTCAAAATAGGTTTTAAGGGCCGGCAAACTGATTTCAAGAGAGAGCGGGAAAGAGACCGTGAAGTGCACTTCTTTTCTTCTCGACTGCCACCAGTATCAATTGCGATTCCAATCACCGGAATCTCCCGGCTTTGAGTCCCATCCAGACGCTCCAGACCCAGACCCGGCGCAGAGGGTGGTCGGATGTGCGATGTGCGATGTGGCGGCCGCAAATGGAAACGCCCCATGTGGTTGCCACCACTCGTCTGGTCTCTGGCCATCGTGCTGACCCATTGATTGATTGCATTTGGCCCCGTCCAGTCAGCAGCCAACTGCCACGCCCCCTGCCGCCTCCAGAAGGTACAAACATACGTCGATGGTTGGGCAAAAGCGATTGCAAGCGAGCGCCACTCGTAACTCGTAAAGCGCGCAACACAGCAAATATTGTACTTAACACCCGGAGGGGCACTTGGCCACGGACGAGTCGTCGCCAATGCACTTGGCGAAAAAAATTAATGTCCTTTTTTGGGAGAGAGTTTGCTTTTTCAATTAAGAGAAAATTGAAGCTGGGTTTCATACTAAGATCGAGAGAAATGCTTAAACTCTCAAAGGTTTAAACTTGTATTTTGAATCTTTCAACCTCATTCTAAATTGATTCATATTTATTAAGTTAAGTTTAAAATTATAAAGCCCCTGATATTTTAATGAAGTTAGGATTATGAATCCCCAGAAAATTTAAAATCAAATGTACTTATTCCAATTTTATCTTAAATATTGCTCTTTTTAATACTACATATTAAATTAAATTTTGTACAAAAAATGCTACAAAATATTGAAAAAAATTATCAAAATTAACACTTAATATCATTATTTCCCTAAGATTATTAAGAACAACCGATTTTTATATTTTAAACATTTTTAGAAAAATTATAAAACCATCCAATAACCTTTTTGAATACTGTTTATTTCTTAAGAAAAGATCAAAAACGAACAAATAACTTAGATTTACTTAATTAATAATTGTTTTGTTGAATATATTAAACTTTGATAAAGAAATCATGTTTTTTTTTGGATATATCTACACATTAAACAATCTTTTTAAATAGTTTTAGAAAACAGTTCCTTAAGAAACTTTCCCTGATTTTAAGTCTCAAAAAATCTTTTCTTATATTGAAAATGCATTTATTATTTCTGCAGCTAACTTATCCCTCTAAATTGTTAAAAAAATACCCAAGACTCTGTGTTTGGGGCATAATTTTTTATTTCAAGTGTACCCCTTGCTGCTGCTGGATTTTGCCTTTGGCCTCGGCATGACTTGGCTTCCCTTGGAATTAATTCACGTTTACGTTTGGCAGGGGCAACAGCTTTGGTCATTTGTTGCTTTTGAGCTAACACGTTGCTCTCATTTCCCGCCGATGCTCGTCCGCGGTGGGTGGTGGCCATCACCCCATCTCCAACCCCAACCCCATCCCCATTTCCCCTCCCACTTGGCAGCACCACCCACGGCAGCCACGTGGTACATATATCATGTGCGGAGCGAGGTGAGGACACGCCCAGACCTTATGGCGCAATTCCATCGTGTAAGTCGCACTTTTTCGGTTTTATAGGTTAATTTGCTTTTATTACATTATCATAAAAATAAACAGAAAAAAAACAAACACAACAAAAGACAAGCTTGCCAACACAGGAGAGCATCCGCGCGACAGCCGCAAAAAACATTTGAGGTTTACCTCACGGCATCCTCGATGGACTCGGACCGAGGACCATTTCCGGAACGGAATGCATGTCCTGGACCCGCTGCGCATTAGCCACGCTCCCTGCGAGTCGTTCGTCCTGCCGGGGAATCGTAAAAAATAGATCATAAAGCGGAAGTCCAAATATGTTAGTGCGTATAAATAGTCAAACTTTTTTCTGCTTTGTTTCACAACTTTATGCAGTCAACGGAAATGGGAGCACTTTTCCAGGGCAAGTGGCAATCAGTCAGAGATTTTCAGTCACAAAATTTAAAACCTTTTTAAAGAATGGTATAAAAAATATGACAGTAAAGTTATAAGCTATATTTAGTGGGACTAAAGCTGTGTTTAGGTAGTAAACGGATTTTATTTAGTAATATTTTTTGCTCTATTCTTTTAGGGTTTGTTAACTTTATATATTCTTTTTTACAGAAAGAGTAGAGTGAACTGTTCTATGAACTATGTTCTGATCCGTTTATTTTTATAAATTTTCTTAATTAATTTAATTTAAATATATGTTGCACTATTGCAGTAAAAGAATCTTATTTGTAAGCACATGTTTTATATATATTTTTCAACACTTTTAGTTTAATAAACATTTTTGAAAATAAATCAACATGATAAATATGAATTATAACTATTTAAAAATTTTATTGATAGGCTGATTACATGATGTATCATCTATATATGAAACTGTAATGAATTCTTTCGGTATACGGAATTCTTTCTTTTCAAATATATTTTCACTTACATAAAGATTGATTTATCAAGCTTATAATTTTAATTTAATCTTATAGGTTCATAAGAAACTTCTAATATATTTTATTGACTTCTTTTTTTATTAAATTGAAATACTTAATAATACTAATAAGGAGTATTAGAATGGATCTACCAAAAATTCATTCCATATTCAACTAGAACCCGTTGGTAGTTCGATTTGAAAGCAATGATAAAGCAATTATGTATTGCTGAAATTGGTTAGCATTGTAAATTATAAATATATAATATATAATTATAAATAATAATTATAAATAATATTATATATATATAATTATAACTAATCTAACTTTTAACGGCAAAAACCTACAATAAATCTCAATTAAACCCAATTTAATTATATCCAAAAACTTTGTTATAATTAAAGATCCCCCCAAAAGTAGCGTGATATTTAAGCAGTGGGCAAGTAAAGGTTAACTTAAGCCAGATAAGGCTGCGATTAATTGTGGAGGATCGATAATGGGAGTTAAGTTTCGCGCAGAGTGGCGATAATGGTAATGACTGTCGATAAATACAGGCTGTCTTGCGGAATCCGGTGATCGTATTAACGCTCTTGTGTCGCCACTTAAGGTGGCACCACCTTTGCTTTGGCATTTCCACTTGGCGATCGTGGCATCCAGGAGATATATATATGTATAATATATATATTCCAGAACAGAAACAAAAACAGAAACAGGGCCGCGAAGTCAGGCGAAAGGTAAACAAACAAATGACACCAAACAAAAGGGGCGTTTCCCAGGGAATCAGAGGAAAACAAGAGTTGAGGTGAAAACTGTGGTTCCATTTTCATTTCCACAGACATTTACTTTTGGTTATATTTCTTTTTTTTTTGTGTGGCCTTTTCTTTCTTTCTTTCTTTTGTTGGGAGCCGTTCGCACCTGTCCGAAGCTGGCAGGGAGCTCTCTGATTGGTGGATATCCGGCTGCCTTCCAGTGGATTGCTTCCCCTGCTGGGAAGTGTGTGCGGCAGTGGTGGTACTTGTACTGATACTGGTACTGGTGGTGGTGGCACTTCCCAACTGGACTGGCTGGGTGAGCAACGAACCCGAGGGCGTTCCCATCGGTTCGTTCCAAGACGAGCGTTGTCCCGCTCTGGCAGCAACTGCAGCGGAATGCGCTTCCAGCCACGACAAACACGACAGAACGTGCACGGGCAGGAGCGGGGGAGGGGGAGGGGGGTACGTGACCAAGAGCGACGCAAGGCACCACAGTCACGGCATTCGCAACCAGTTCATGTTCAAACGTTATAAGGTGCACATCTGGAGCGTGTGTGTGCTCGCCTCGCGCTGTTGCCGTCGTTGTTTCCCGAAATCGTTACGTTGCTGCGTGCTCTGTGTCGTGTGCGCTGCCGTCGCGTTTTACGAGAGTGAAAGATTGACGGAAAAGAAAGCAAGAACCCTTTACGCCCGGTATCCCGGAGATACTTCATTGTGACAAGTGACACAGATACCTTAGTCCTTACCAAAAAAAAAACACGTGCAATCTTTGAGATACTTTTGTCGGAGCACAGATACTGCTTTCATCTGTGAGATACTTTTAATTGACTAAGCTCTTTAAATGAGAGATACTTTTACAAGCATCGGAGCCTGGAGATTGCTGCTTGTTTAAGCGTAGTGATACTTCAGATATTTCTGTAAACACCAAGACAGATACTACTTCAATCCCTGAGATACTTTAGGGTTGACCTAATGCTGTGTCCACCTAATCGCTCGTTGTTTGTGAACACACGTAATCGAAGCTGAACCACTGTTTACGTTAAACCCAAACATCAGTTGACATTTGATGTAGGAGCTACATAAGTCCTTCAGAAGATTGTCCAAAGGAGAGAGAGAGAGAGTGAGAGAGAAAGAAAGAGAGAGGGGAAGAGAGTGAGAGAGATATAAAGTTTGAGAGAGAGAGAGAGAAAAGGAGAGTAATTTAACACCCAAAAAGTCCTAAAGTGAAATGGCTGCCTACACACAATTTGGATACGGTGGCTTTCCGACGGCCTCACAGGTGGGTTATTTAATTTAAGATCATTATATGATATATTTATATATATATTTAATATTTCATATTTCATTTAAATGATAAATATATTTCATAAATACCACTGGGCTAAACACGATACTAATTGTATTAAAAAACTATTTCAGTACATATTGTATATAAAAATAATACGTTATCTACAGTATACATATATACAAATTTATAAGGTAATCAGAATTAAAAATAAAAGATACAATTACCATTTTTAAGCTTTTCCAAAAGTATAAGAATTTAAATTATATTTAAAGTAATAAATCAACTTAGCAAAGGTCTGCTTTAAAATATATTCCTTTGAATATTTGGCAAAAAAGTCTTTATAAAAAAATAACATTCCCTGCAATTAAAACTCTATTTTTAATACAATAATACCTAAAGTATATATATTGAAAAACAAGTTTTTATAAAGAATGTTATTTATAAAATAGAATACCAGTTTAAAATGCATAAAAAATGTTTATATTTTGTCTAGAATTTTTCTTATCTTTGTTTGGAAATAACTTTGTTTTATATATCATAAACAGTATAAACTAGACGTTTATCAACGGAAATATAAAGGACTTTTATATCAAAAACCATTATTAACTCAACTGTAAGGTTTTTAAAATAATATCATAAATTGACATAACATAACTCTATAGGTTACATCAATTTTATTTCAAAGAAACCTAAATCTTACAAGACCCCAGCTTAAATGCAATTTTTAAAAGCCTCAAGTACAAGTATCTTTGGCAGCGGCCGATCCAAAGTCAAAGCTATCTGATCGCTTTGATCTCGAAGACCTACACTACTGTAGGGCAAAAACGCCTCACTCAGTTTTTTGATTGTTGCGCTCTTGGACTTTCACATGAAAGGCAGCAGGCAAAAAACAGCTCCTCCTTAAAGCCAACTCTTTTTGCCATGCTTATGACAGTAAATTGGTAGAAGTAAGCAAAGAAACAATAAATCAGATGCCTGATATATGGCCTGAGAAAAAAACACTCGCCAGGATTCGAGACTCTTTTTATGTCAGCTCAAACCTTAGCCTTAAACTTTTGGTTTTTGCATTGTTTAAACTTTAAAGATATGCTGCAGGTGCAACTATTTTTGACAATATATATTGGATGGATCACAGTGCCTGTGAAGGTTATTAGGATACAAATAGTAAATTGATTGAGTTTATTTTTTCTCCTCTCAAGAGATACTCACTATACACACTAGCCAGTTTCATTTCCCAGGCTGAGATTCCTCGAAGAAGACTCTTTCCCATTTCGGACCACACGAGTCCAATTAAGTGCAGTCGAAATGATGCAGGAGGATGGAGGATGGAGGAGTGGAGTGCCAAGAGCCAGACAATCAGGAGGCGCAGGCGATGGGGAGGTGCCGATTGAGGCACGCTCAGGTGAAACTGTTGAAAAGTCAATAAAATTCAATTGCAACGATCGTAAATCATAAAATTCATAACCGTAAAGTGACAGCTGAGGGCAGGCCCTGGGAATGCCTTGGTAGCTACGTGAGCAGCATCTTGGCCCTCCATTGATGAGGAGTTGGTCTGCGACTGGCCAAGATGCAGCCGATATGCAGTGGAGGTCTCGGTCTTCGACTCGATCTTGGTCTTGGTCTTGCTCTTGCTCTTGCTCTTGGTCCCACAAAGCGAACGATCATCGATGGACCAATAACTTTGGACCCCGCTCTGATCTACTTTACATTGCACTGAAGGTGCTCCTCTCTTTTCTCTTCAAGTGGCGCTTATTCCTATCAAGTTGGTCATCTGCCCAGGATGCGGAGGAGCTGGGGAAGCGCGGGAGTAGATACGATTCGGAGGCGGATGGATCCGGGAGCCTGGCAGGGAACTCGGAGATACAAGTCGCGATTAGATCGCTGCGTTTGCGATTCACAGAAATTTCCAAAGCACACTGAAACTGGACTGGGACTGGGACTGGGACTTGGGATGGGACTCGAACTGGGCACTGTGCACACATGGCCAACAGATCTTATCTGGCCACTGTCGCCTGCCAGTCGTCTGCACAGGCTCCACTCCACTCTTCTGCATCTCCAGTTGGACAACATGGATGTGGCCAATTCACATGACCATGGCCCACTGGACTCTTGGTCTCTTGACTGGCGCTTCCTCCGTCCTGGTAAGGAATGGAGTGGAGGTGCTCCTCGCTGCCTCATGAATAATGCATTCAAGGAGAACGCAAGGAGCCGAGGAATCTGGCAGGCGCATAGAGCTCCCTATATGGTGTCGCCTATCAGATCAGTTGTCATAATTCTCATATTGTTTTGCGATTCGCTGGGAACGTAGCATCAGAATCAGAATCAGCCACAGCCTCCTTCCGATCGAAGCGTCAGCACAGCTCTCGGGACTGAAATGTATTTGCTTTTTACTAATTAAAATCACGCGGCCCGAAAAAACACCTGAATCATTCATTTGTTAAATTTTGATAAATGGTTGTGCGTTTTTTTTGGTATTTTTATTTTCATCGGTGTCCCTATATATAGGCAAACAGGCGGGGTTTTGGCCTCGAAATTCTATTATTCGAACGATTCACCCCCCAGCATGACTCACAACATTTTTCCTATATTAATTATGTTATGTTAAAAAGGCCTTCTAGTGGATCACTCACCTGTAGTTTGTACACTTGAATTAGAGAGAAAAGCTGATGATCGATGGTGGGCTTATTAATTAAGATCAGGGACTATTTTTAATACTTATTTAATGTTGTTTAAAAGAATCAAAAAAAGGGAAGTGCTCTCTTCTCAGCACATATGCTTTGGGTTTCCTCTAAAATCTAATCATAATTTAATATAATTGTCTATTTATTTTTCCAAGTATGTTTTCCATATTTTGTCTTAAAATTCCTTGAGAAAAGTCGCTTTTTTTTGTGTGTACTGTCTGCAAAAATCGATCTCTTTTCGATCTCCCTTCGATCGCATCTGATAATTATAAAATAAAATGCATAAACAGCGATTTCAATGGGCGAGGGTTCTATTGTCAGATTATGTTAATGGCGCGGAATAATTATGCGTCTTTGGTCTTTGGCATTTAATTTTCTGTCCAGAATTTCGCTACGGAAGCCGTGTAAGCCGGGCCAGAAATTGCTGCCAGGATATATATAATATATATATATATATATGACCTTTAGGCTGAAGCAGGCAGAAATTCCGCTGGCATTCGATCAATTTGTAGCTGTCCATCAGCGGAGCATTCAGCTTAATTATAGGTTCGGCAATATATTTTCGCCCAGGCAGACTTTGGAAATTGAGGCAGCTCGCTCGTTTTCGCAGATTGCCCGCGGTAATTTTCAGAAGCCTTCTTCGCCAGCATCTGCAACTCCATCTCGATCTTGGGCAAGGGTCTGGTCTTGGGTCTTTGGTCTGGGTTTGGGTTTGGGTTTGGACCTGGGTCTGGGTCTGGGTCTGGATCTGGAGCTGCAAAACCTGAGAGACTCCAGCACCGACCTATAGGCGTCGGCTGCCACACCCTCATTGATTTCTGGCATTTTTAAATGCCCAACCAGTCTGCTGCTTCATGGGCTTGCCGCATTTTGCATATTAATTGCCAAGTGAGTGGCGCATGCCATAGGCGAGAAGCTCTCCTCTTCGCATACATAAAACATAATGTATATATATAAAGAAAAGATGGAGGACATCAAGCACTTGAAATCGATTTTGCAATGTGCGAGGTAATTGATCTGGCCGCCGCCATTTGCTGGAGGAGGCCAAAGGAATCCAGCAGCAGATCTCCCAATCCCCGGCCATTGATTAAGGGAACTTAATCGCCGCGGGATTATGAATCCCGTGCAGCTTCTGCTTCTGCATTTTCAGCCGGCGGCACTGATTGTGTGTTAACACCATATTCGCTTACATGTTATCGATGCATCTTGTAATGGGGGCCTTCTGTCGATTTTTCGAATTAAATTCGCTTGCAATTACCCCTGCGCGGATTTTATATCGTTTTATATCGTTGGGATGGGCAAACAACATTGCCGGACATCAATATTTATGAAGTTTCTAGTACGGCAGTTAGCATGACTTACTCGGCCTTTCATCGCCACAAAATTAGCCATTATGCGTGGATGTGCGTTTCCTGTGCCCCAGGTTGGAGGGAGGTATCTATTCCCGGGCAGGTTCTTCTTGTAGCACCTTCCTGGCCAAGTTGACAGCTGGTTTATCTAGCTGTTGGCTGCAATTATCTAAAGGTATAATAATACTAATTAATTTTAAGATAATTGTAATCATTAAATGAAAGAGGTTTCAAGGGAATTTTGTCATGTTATGGGATAAACTTTTATAGGGATTTATCTTTTGATTAAATTTTATTGCCAAGTTATAATAAAAATAGAAATATTAAAATATAAAACAAAATTATTTTAAAATTTTATCCATCTTTATATCTTGTTAACTTAATAATCTTTCAAGACCCTCAAACTTTTAGGAAATGTAAACTTTATCCAGCTGTTAAACTTAATGCCCAATAATACCTAAATTATTGCCTTAATATATATAAAGATAAATGCAAAGGTTAGTTTTATATGTTTGAAAATGAAATATATTCCTTCAATAAGCCAAAGATGGGATATTTCTTGGAAGCCAAACCTCGGCACAGTAAATGTGTTTTTTTTGGAGAGTCTTATCAGGTCTTCATATCACACATAAGGTGTTCGAAATGACCCTTTTGCAGCTGATGAAAAATATTTCTCGATCATCGAGGGTTCCAGTGGTGGTGTGTTTGAAATAAAAATTAAAATGGCCCTTTGATTAACATGCATTAGTTATGTAAGCCAGTGGCAATCTGTTTATATATCACTTAAGGCTATCAGTGAATGCATTTCAAGTTGTGAAGTGTACCTGCACGGTGGGAAAATGCTTTATTAAATTGATTTTATGAATTCGATTACAAAATATATATATCAAGTTATTAAGTTTAAATAATCTGAATATTTGACTAGGTTTTGAAAAGGGAAATGTGTTTAATTATTATATACTAGACTTGTTTTATTAATTATTCTATTTCTTTAAGTATAAAAAACACTTTTGGTTCATACAAGAGGTTAATAAGAACATTTTAAGACAAGTTTTTTAAACATTTTCTTTAAGTATTGTTTTAATTTTAAACACCTTTCCAGGACACATTTTCTCCCCGTGCAGTCACCTTAATATACACATAAGATAAGGCACTGAAAAGCCGAATTTTGTGTTTCAATTTGCGATAAAGCTGGTCCCATCTAAAGATCCTCCTCTTCTCCTCCTTCCCATTGCAGCTAATACCGCCAAGTGCCCAGCCAGCGGAGGACTCCTCCGTAAACGTGAACGACTCGCTGGTGATGACAAACGCCCCGGCGATGAGCCCTGCGGGTGGTGCGGACTGCCAGGCGAGCCAGCCATCGGGTGGCATTGCTGGAGCTGGCGGAGATGCCTCCTCGGGGGCACTCAGTCCCAATGCCCTTTCGCAGAACTCGCAAAATGCCCCGACGGGGGATTGGTGGTGGCCGGAGCTGGATCCGGGCCAGGCGGAGCGGACCTGGTTACCGGTGGCGGCGGCGGCGGCGGTGGCTCCCTGGACGGTAATGGTGTGGGCACGACGCCCACGGCCGGCGGAGGCAGTGGCTCCTGCTGCGAGAACGGGCGACCCATTATGACCGACCCGGTGTCGGGTCAGACCGTCTGCTCCTGCCAGTATGACTCCGCCCGCCTTGCCCTCTCCAGTTACTCCCGGCTGCCGGCGGCCAGCGTTGGCGTCTATGGGACACCATATCCCTCAACGGACCAGAATCCCTACCAGAGTATTGGAGTGGACAGCTCCGCCTTCTATTCGCCGCTGGTGAGTGCAGTTAAAGCTTAATATAATATATTAAACAATATATTTTATTATCTAAAATAAAAGAGGGGAAATTTATATTTCATTTACTTAGTTTCAAAATAAATTATATTCCCTTTAATAATTAAAAGACGTAAAATATCTTATGCTGCTTAAGAGTTCTTAAGAATATATTTAACGAGGTGCAGGATGTGTTAAGAGCTCTTATTAAACAGGCTTAAAAAGGGTTGAATTAAAAATTAAAGATTGAAGATAGTACAGAGAATATGTTAAGAATTTCGTTTTTATATTATTATACATAGATAAATTCTTAAAATAAATTTAAATAATTTTTGTAGTTCGTTGAAGAGTATTTTTAAACAGCGTTGGAATTCTTAACTAATTATTCAATGACTTTTTGTGAGTCATCCTTTTCCTGTAGGGTTTTAATGAGAATTCGATATTTTGATTAAAAAGATTAGTATTTAAAATACACATTTTACTATTTGAAATGTACAATTATCATATTATATAATATCTTAAAATCAAACTGCTTTTATCTCATGATATTTAATTCCGAAAATCTACAGATTTTTTCCAAGTGCCTGACAAAGTTCTAAGGAACCCCTCTGGGCCAGAGGGCTAAATGGATTATCTCAGCGTATGACTTTAATTGTGTAGTCAGTGGCTTTTGTCCGGAGCTTAGGAGGAGGGAGACACCGAACCGAACAACGACAAAGACAACGACAACGACAACGACAACGACATCGACAACTAAAACGACAACAAAGCTATGGCTTTGGCTATGGCTAACAACGACAACGACGATGGCTTGTCAATGCAGTCGACTAAATCGAATTATCATTATGGCTGACTGAAGCTCAGTCAAACCTCATTTGGCTCCGTATCGGGGCTTTAGTTTCTTCCCCCGGAATCCTCCTCACTGGATCCCCTTTCTATCGCCGCCTATCCATCTACCTAATTTATAAGCCAGGCCAACACACAGCTCCAGCCGCATGTCTGAAGGTTCCCTACCATCTACTCTCCTCTCTCTCCCGATTGCCAATCCGACTTCCATTGCGATATTCGATACTTTGCATAAAGAAAGGCAAAATCATTGGAAACAAAACATATTGCCCCATGGCCTCAATTACACTCCACTCTCTTCGTGTATGTGTGGGCTAATCAAGCTTATGGTTCAGTGTGTGTAAGAGAGCACCACACAACATACAGAGACACTGGAGGTTAAGGTAATAGGATGACCCTTTAGAATATATGTTAAAAAGGATCTTTAAACATATAGCCTAACAAGAGAAAAGAATTCTGGATATTTTTTGATTTAAATAAAGGTTTTAGTTAAGGTATACAATAGATAAGTATATAGGTTCAGTAACTATAAAAATATTCCACTCTTAATATCGTAATTGAAGAATAAGCTATTAGCTTTCATCATTTATTAAGCTTTTATTTGATAAATAAACTAAATTAGGTATTAATATAACATTTAAAGTATCTAATTTTATCACTACATTTTTGGCTGTTCATTTATTATATCTTTTAAAAGATATCTACGTAAATTGAGTCTTTTATAATTTTCTCCCCCTTTTTAAAGTCCATTTTCTATCACAAAAATATTCAAAAAATCAATCAAAATCTCAGTAATTCTGTACCAAAATTGTAATCCCCTATTATTTTGACATTGACTGTGTCATATATAGTCACTAAGTGACCGCTGAAATGTACACGAGCACAGCATGACTGAAGCAAAACACACGCTGGCGCTGCTGCTGCTGCTTTTGCTTCAACTTTTCGCTTTGGCTTTGGGCTGCTGTTGGCCTGAATGAAAGGCAAACACACAGGCACAAACACAGTCGCAGACAAACACACAAAATTGGCAACAATATGTATAACAACAATGTGGACAGTATTTAGCCTTGGCAAATAACTAACTGCCAGAGATGGATAGGCCGGACAACGGCTTAGCTTGGAATCGTCCAAAAACAACCAAAAAGACGAAATAACCAAATAGCCGAGCAAGTGTTTTATAAGGACATAGATAAATAATTTCATCAGCGTGGTTTGTGTACACAATTTTTCAATTTCCGAATCAGTGAGAATATTTTTTTGGGGAATTTGTTTCTATTATTTAAAGTAAAATATATAGTTGAACGAAAGGGAAATGAGTGGTTTCAAAGAGTGCCATTTTCTTAGAGATTCTTATCCTTTCAATTAACATATTTTATGTGCCCTAAATTTATTTGTACTAGGGAGTTTAATAGGGAATAAAATCAAAATTTGAATATATATGAAAAAATTTAATTAAATTGTTTGGAAAAGTCTTATCTAAATTATTCTAATGATCTAGGAAGGGGCACTTTACACGATTAATTATATTCGATATATATTCGACTATATTTTCCACTAGAATTTTATTACCAATATTTAAAAATTCCAATTTGCCTAACTTTGACAGATTGTAAACATATGTAAAAGATTTAAAATATGGACACCCCTAGTTTATAGTCCAAAAATTTTATGTAAACTTCATGTAAAACATGAAAACTAGCTGAACAACATACAAGTTATAATCAAAAAGACGTAACATGATTTTAAAAAAACTTAAACTAAGCCTAATTCCAATAAAATTTCTCCAGATTTTTGCCCTATCTTAGGTCACGTTTCCCCCCAAATTAACCAACAAGTTTCATAAATTGTTACTAATTTAAAGAAATCTTAAAACACTTGTCCCGTCTTTGTCAACAATATGTATTTCCCCAGACCTGTAATAAGCACATTAGTTTGAATGATCTAATTAATATGAACAAAAACACGGTCTAATCAACTTGGGCGGCTCTCGTCCAAGTACTTCAAAGGGAAACCTCCTCCTTTGGAGGCAAAGGGAGTGATGTAAGAGGAAAAGAGGAAAACCCCCCAGGGAAAAAAGGAGAGGAGAGGAAAAGCAAATGGGGCGGAGACGGCAGCGGCAGCCACCAAAGTGTCATGTTAAATTGTTATTTACAACAACAGGAAATTCATTCGTTCTTCTCCGTTTTTTTTTTTCGTCTTTATTTTATTTGGTTTTTTCCCCTTTATTTTTTGTTGTATTTTGTGGCAAGAGAGCGCGCACCTGACCGACTGAGTGTGTCGTCTTCTTTATCGCGGACGTCGCGTCACGAAGCGCATACTTTTAATTAAGAAAATATCTCTGGGGGCTCGATAAGATGTCTGTTCAATTTGGAAGCGAGGTGTTAATACGCGGGATCTGGCAGAATCTTACACATCATTTCGATTGGTAAATAAATCGGTGAGACGACCACGAGATCTCACTTTTTATTTTGTTCGATGGCGATCCGAAGCCAATACCAATACCAAATACCTGTTCAAACGACATTTTGATAAATATATTTGTCACTCGACTGCGGCGGCAACTGAACTGATTCGAGGAGGGCTTTCCGCTCTGGAGGGAGGGAGGGGGGTGAAAAATTAATAAACAACGGCATACATGATGTTCGGCAATTAAAAATGTTAATACCATTTCATAAATCAAGAGCCCACAAAAGCCCTGGTCGACAGGGCCAACCAGATTGGGCCGCTGCCACAGCATCGATCTGGCCAATAGTTGTCGCTCATAAATCCGGCTGTCATTTTCCGAGGGCATAAATCGCAGCACGCCACAGCCAGACTTGGGAGTCTGAATTGGAATTAAAAATTCAAAAGTGTCAGTCCCGCAAAAGCCCGATTTTATACCCGTTTAATAACAATAATCGGCGCTCTCCGCTTGGCTTAGATAATTTCCGATTTTATTTTTCGGAAAGTTATGGTTTCTCGGTATCGATCGGTGTATCTGTCGATGAATGTCACTCAAATATATGGCCAGCATGGCGGCATTTGCTTGTTTTTTCGGCGAAATATGTTGGCAAATTATAAATTCCATGTTAACAAAATTGTCAACTTTGGAAACTGTGGGAAAATGCTTTGTTTCGGCAGCGACGAAATAACATAATAATAACTCAATTCGAATCATTGTATTCAATGTTGAATTCTTAATCGTTTCAGAGCAACCCGTATGGACTCAAGGACACGGGCGCGGGTCCGGAGATGGGAGCCTGGACATCCGCAGGACTACAGCCCACCACGGGCTATTATTCCTACGATCCCATGTCGGCCTATGGGTAAGAACCATCTCTCATTCTCTCGTTCTCTTTGAAATTTAATTAGTTGTTAGGCTGAACAATAATTAATTGCGTCTAATAGAATATAAATAGAAAGCCTTTTAGCGCAATTTAAATACTACGTAGAGAAAACCAGGGGCCAGCGAATCAAATGCAATCGCTCGCCCATAATTAATTACAAAATATTTGCAAGTACTTGAAATTGATTTGAATTTAATTGCCTGCGGCGGCTGCGATGCCCCCTTGTCCCTCCCCTTTCCCATGTCCTGTTTTCTTCCTCCGATTTTCCCTGGGTGCTCTAGGGACGGACGATAATAAAATTTGAATTGTTCGAAACTGTATGAGAGCGCGAAATTATTTATTTATGATTGCTGCAAAAATAATAGCAGTTAATTGCACGCCAGAGCGGGCAACGCACGCTGTACGTCCTCACTGAAAGCGTTTGTATATATAGATTCATGTAGGCTTTTACACTGAAAATAAAATGGGAAAGATAGGTTTTAAATTTAAATTTAATTTTTATTTTTCTGGGATTTTTGTTTGAGTTTTTTGGGGGTTAGTTAACCTATTTCTATAGAATTTCCACTTGTTTTTTTTAAGTAGTTCTCAACAGTATACTTTATTAATTTATTTTCCTTTGAATTAAGCTTAAATCTTTATCTTCTTAAATGCAAAAATATTTAAAATCAAGACTGAAAAGAATTTTTCATAGTAAAGCATACTAAAATCGTACTCCCTAGGCCCTAAAAATGTTACAATTTATTTTATACCTACCCCAATTTTCCCCCTGTGTAAGTGCGTGATTTTGTGAAGTATGCTGCTTAATTAGCACCTATTAAATAAATATTTTATTCCATATACCCAACATATTTTTTGCTGTGCATGTACATACATTAATACGAAAAGTATGTGCACACGTGGGTGCATATATGCATGCATAAGTGCGTACGCACATACCACACACACACTCGCACACACACGGTAGGACGACCATTCCCAATCCCAGTTTCAGTCCCAGTCCGAGTATAATTCCGATTCCAGATCGAGGGGGAGGGGGAAAGGACGCAAACTGGGCAGGCTGAGTGGCATGCAACGGCTGCGGCTTCCCGTTGGACGGTCGCTTTCGGCCGGCTTGCGTGCGGAAAGCCCATGAAATCGAGCTGCAGCTAAGTGAATGAATGAGTGAGTGAGTTGTAAGCGATGCAGCCGAGAGAGAGAGAGAGAGGGGGAGAGAGTAGTGGGGTGGCGGTGCCGAGGAGCAACGCAGGGGGCGGAGAGGAGGTGTGAGCCGCAAATGAACGCCATGTTGGCCGCCATATTGAGCGGCAGTACATACGCACGTACTTACCGATGTACCGGTGTTGTGTTGGTATGTGTGTTCGACTAAACAGTCTGTAAAGTGCACTGAAAAAAAGAATATCAACACTTAATTAATTCGGGAAACTCTCAAAAATGTTATTTGAATTTATTTTAAGTCGATAATCGGAAATCGCATTTAAAATTGACACCGAAGAGTACCTTTCATCCTTCAAAAGTCACTAAAAATTCTCATAATTAAAGATTAAAGCTATTCCCAAGTGTTAAAGTTTTTGCAAACTTAAATTTAATTCTTTTTAAAGCCACCTTTAAATGCTAAATATTATTTTTCCCTCTGTGCGAAGGCGTGTACATATTTACGAGCTTGACAAAGACATTTAAGAGGGGAGAATGGTTGCGCTTTGTTTTGTTCATCGTCACAAATTGGCACCGTGGAAAGGTGGAAAATCTGACTGACTGACTGACTGTCTCTCTGTCCCTCAGTCTGTCTGTCTGGTTTGGATGGAAATTGCAGGCAAAATGGAAAATAAAATTGGTGGGGGAAAAGGGTCCCAGTCGCAGCCTGAGTGGGAGGAGGGTGGCACTGACAGGCAACGTAATTACCCAGTGACAGGCATGCCCGTGTCTGCTCACGGGAGCGAATGTCATTTTAATGCCCGGCATTATTTGTTCGAAATGTACGAGTAAATCGCAACTCGCAGATAATGGCCGCCGTAATTGGCGGCTCCAACCAAATTGCATGTGTTTCGCGTAGAAGCTAAAAATGTAAATGTGTGTAAGCCGGTCTAAAACTAATAAGCGCACCATTCGGCCATTCCCAGTCAATGCACTGAAGAATAATCTTATTAGGGAACATTTAGAATATATTAAAATTAAATTTATTAGCTTGGAAAAAAAGAAAAACAGTTGGTGCTTTAGGGGAATACTTGTTAAAATGTATAAGAAAGTATTTCTGTATTTTGTAGGAGAAATCTTGAGAATATCGAAAAACATGGTAAGAGTAGTAGGAAAATATATTAGCAGAGAGAGACAAATGTATTCAAGCTTCAAAAAATATTGTTTTAGGAGCTTAGTTTAATGTACTTTTCATAAAAAATATTTACAAGTATTTAAAAACTTTCTTTATATTCAAAAAATAATAATTGTCCTTAAACGAATTAAGGATATTTGCAATAACAATTAAAGCAATTAACGCATTATTTTTTGGTTAAAGAAGAACTGATTCTTATCTATGTTAATTTCTATAAACTTAAAGCATTCCTTCTATGTTATTTTTCTGAGTGCAAGCAACTATATAGCCATAGAGCCACATAGCCGTATCCGTCGCCCTGTATTTGTGTGAACAAGAATGTGATTTGTTAACAAGATTATGGCCCGCTAGGAACAGCAGCAGCGGCAAGTCGCAGTAGCTACTGCTACCGCGGCCAAATCATTTTTGTTTACGAGTTATGCCAAAAGAACGCAGACACATGTATGCCGGTACATGCATTTCGCGGCACTGCAATTATATGGCGAATACAAAAATAGGATGCGTGCCAATTACGGACAAATTGATGTTGTGTTAGCTTGTAAACATAACAGCACAAAAAGCCCACAAAGCGTATCACTCGAATCGAATTCAGTTAGCAATAGAGCCATAGAGCTATATAGAGTTATAGCCACCGAACTACGCGATAATCATATGGTCCGGAGTATTATATAAACCGCCTTCGGACGATGTTACGGGTTACGTGCCTGAAATTACGGCCTTCTCATGCCTCCCGTCATGGTCATTGGACAAATCTGATTTCTTGTCTGGACCTCAAATACAGTGGAAACTCTTATAAGGCGTACATAAATTGAACGAAACATTCAATCTTGAAACGAAGGGTATATTAGCGAACAAACTCTATTGTAGGGACAACTCTATTATTGCCAGAAAGGGGTACTCTCTTAGGCGGACAAGTTTCTCTCAAATGTTTTATTTTATTTATATTAAATTTAATTTAATAAGTAAACTTTAAGCATAACAATATAGATAAATCAAGGTATCTTATAGATACAAATTCTTGGAATGTCTAGCAGCTCTTTCTGTTTATCGAACAAATTTAGTTTTTCCTTAAATATAACTCAGTGAAAAGTAAAGAATTTAATATAAATACTTATAATATAAAACCTTTGACTTAAACTATGATAAATTTACCTATTCACCTATGAAAAATTTCGCTCTCAGTGAAAGTTCCGTTGTATTTTTTTGATTGTACGAAAAACCACGAGTCCTCCTCCAAACTCTTGTGCTAATCACTGGCAACATCCTTCTCCACACTGTACACAATCAGGATACACTAGAACTACAACAAAACACAATAAAAAAAGCCAAAAAAAAGGAAAGCAAAAGAGAAAGAGAAAAAAACAAGGAGAAAGGACGTTCAAATTTGCATTCGACGGGCAGCGTTTCTGAGTTTCGTTCTTTATCTTGTTGTAAAATTCACCGCACACAAACTGTTGATTGTGGCTCCATAAAAATCCCATGAAAAAGCGAGCAAAATGGGGGAATAAAAAAGAGGACGAAAAGGGATTGGGAGTGGCTGTGGGAGTGGGTCTGGAAGTGGGTCTGGAAGTGGGTCTGGCCAGAAGACCCGAAAGTGAAACGGATGAGCCGGATGTGCAGCGGAGAGTACGCATGGGCTGGGGCTTAATTTTAGCTAGGAAATGCTGCTGCTGCTGGAAGGGATTCCCACAGGCTCTGGTGGGTTAAAAAATGTGCGATAAGTGCACCACCATTGAAGAGTGAGGAGGATGTGGAGACGGAGGACCCCCACTTGCACCCACTTGTCGTCCTCGTTATTGCCGGAGACGCTGTGTTTGGACTGCTGTTGCTGCTTTTTGTGGCCGTGCCCTGTTTCACAACTATGTTTTACAATATTTTGACGATGTATTACACTGGCAGGACGACGATCCCGAGTATCTCTCCGGGGAGAGTTCAGCACAGAGGAGCCTAAGGGGGTAGAGGAACAGGAGAACATCAATTTGAGTTTTCCGCATTTTTAATGAATTTCCATGTTTTCATGCTGCTGCATTTTTTACGGGGCATGCAATTAGAGAGAGCAAGGAAATCTATTTAAAGAGAATGTTAAACTTTATGCAATTTTACTATTTTTTAAATTGATTAATTTATTATATATTTTTCTCTATCCCCTTCCAGCTATGGAGCCAGTTATGATTTGGCTGCTCGTCGCAAGAATGCCACCCGGGAGTCCACGGCCACTTTGAAAGCCTGGTTAAATGAGCACAAGAAGAATCCGTATCCTACAAAGGGCGAGAAGATCATGCTGGCCATCATCACCAAGATGACACTCACCCAGGTCTCCACTTGGTTTGCCAATGCCCGGCGGCGTCTGAAGAAGGAGAACAAGATGACCTGGGAGCCCAAGAATCGCACTGATGATGATGACGATGCCATGGTATCCGATGATGAGAAGGACAAGGAGGACCTGGAGCCGGGCAGCAAGGGAAGCCAGAGTGGCAGTGGCCTGGCCAAAGGTATAGGACTTGGGAGTCATTCCCCAGGGTTAAGTACTCAAAGTCGTCCTTTCTTTGAACCAGATGAGACCAAAGAGGAGGAGGACGCCATAGATGAGGACCAGAAGTGCTTGGGTCAGCAGGCCAATATCCTGCGAGCAGGCTTCGGTTATCCCTCGGCAGGAAGTGGCGGCTATCATGGAGGTGGAGGTGGCTCCGCTGCCGGTGGCTATCACCCGTATCACCATCAGCATCCCGCTTATTACCAGCCGGGTCAGCAGGGCATGTTGCCCTTTCATGGAGGTGAGGGTTCCGGATCGGGATCAAAGCTCCACGGGGACAATGGGGAGTCAAAAAACCAGCTAGGCCGGGACTGTGGCGTGCCGATTCCAGCTACCAAGCCGAAGATCTGGAGTCTGGCCGACACAGTTGGCTGCAAGACCCCACCGCCGGCCTACATGGGCCATCAGGGTCACCCAAATCACTCGATGCCGCTGCAGCAGCAATATCCACCAGTGCAGCAGGAGCAGGGAGCCGGAGCAGCTGGGCGGGATCAGATGTTCAATGGTGCCGCCGCTCCCTACCTGAGGCCGCACACCACGGCTTACGGGGGTTTTCTAGGGGCTACGACCCAGCAGCTGCATACTACGAACAGCAGCAACAGTATGCCCTACAGCAGCAGCAGCAGCATCAGCAGCAGTATCCCCCAGCACCAGCAGCAGCAGCAGCAGGAGCAACTGCATCCGCAGCAGCTGGCGGTGGGTCAGCGGAGCAGCGGGAGCAGCAGTTCCAGCGGCACGCATACGCCTACCATCCTTACTACGGGAAGTTCGAGCGGGGCCCAGCTGCAGCTGCAGTTCCAGCGGCAGCAGTTCCAACAATCTCAGTCCACAGCGAGTCAGCGGGCGATGGGGTTTCCCGAAGCCCAACCCGATACTCCACCCCAAACTCCGCCGAATATGAAGGTGCTGAACGGAGCTTTGAGTCTCCTGCCTACCGCTACTCCAGCCCCTACGATCGCTACCTGTCGCAGCAGTAATGCGACCCAATACAATGGTTATCCCATGAATTTCTCCAGGATTGGGGAGTACTCACCGCGAGAGGATTATGGCAGCGGGAACAGTAGCAGCAGCAGCACCAGCTCCTCATCCTCGCCTCTCCAGCTGCAGCGGAATGAGGCCATGTTTAGGCCACTCTTTAAGAAGTATGTCAACTAAGAGGGTATAGTATACATAAGTGCTATCAAAAGCAACGAGAAAATCTCTAATAAAATCAAAGAGATTTATAAGAACTTGGACAGATCTTGAAAAAATCAAAGAAATCCTTTTTTTGACCAGCATCTTGCGTCTATAACTGGTATTTAAGAGGCCCCATTGGGATCGTGTAATATTCATTGTAATCGTATACACCGCGTAAAACAACTTCAAGTTTCATTCGAGTTATGCATCATGTATTTAGAGTACCAGATCAAATGTTTCTCTTCAAACTGCAATGTAAGCTTAGGCTAAATACTAAATTAGCGCAATAAGATTGTAAACTGTGATACGTTTTTCATTGTCTAACAGACTTCACACTAAACACTTCGTCTATATGAACACATAATCTAAATAATTTTAAATCGTTTAATAAAATTCTTTATAATCATGAAAAGTATGAGTTTTCTAAAATGGAAGGGTAGTGGAATTTTTACTAGAACTTAAAGGTAAGTGGAGGTAAAGTTGAGCTGTGAATTAAGTAAAAAAGAATGCAGAAACATTTTAGTAGCTATTTATTATTTATTTCCCAGTCACATCTTTTTTTCTATTCTGGAAAAATCTGCTAATTACCTTCTACCCTTCAATGACAAAATTAGCATTATTTTACATTAATTTATAGTTTGAACATTTGTTCTAATTCAGCGACAAGTACAGCAGGCTTTTGAAATGTATATGGCGGTAAAACCAGTGTCATTAATCGATTGCAAATGTAATTTATTATTATTTTTTTATCCTCGTTTGCCCAAATTGAGGCCAGACAAAAAAGCTGAAAACATGACGTACAAAAATGGTAATGATAGGTGTAATTAAGCATTTTTTTTTTACTCTAGCTTATGATTCAAGTAAAAACTGATAAGGTATTTACAATGCACTACTCTTAAAATAATATTTAAAATATACATTTTATAACTTCTGATGAGATTTCAATTTAAATTTATATAAATGGAGCGATTGCTTAACTCATTCGTAAATCATAATAATCAATAGTTCAATAATACAACTTATCTATTGTTTTCTAAAGTCTCGTTTATGTTTCATTTCTCTATTATTTAATTATGTATTTAGTGTGACAATTTCAGTCTTTATTTAAATGTATATCTTAAAATAAACAGAAAAAATCGACTAATTTTATAAGGACAATAAAAGGAACAAAAAAATATATCTAGGGAGTCTGTAAAAGCCAGTGAATGAAGAAGAAAATTAAATATTTCGAGATATATACTGTTTTGTAAAGGTTGAAAGTTAGAGCAAAAACTGGTTACTAGTTTAAAATTTCTTGATTTTATATTAGTCTTGTAACTTCCTTGATAAATATAAGATAATTAATTGTGTTGATAGGTATATAAAATTAGATTGGAGCTTTATCTATAGTGAGTTCCAGACTACTTTTTATTTAGACAAACTCTTGGGGCCTTTTTCAATTGAAATTTTTGGATTGTAATATGCTATTTTCTCCTTAGAAGATATTCAATATATTTTCTCCCAGTGCAGGCCTTTGCCGAATTGCTGCAGAAATTGTCAATTGCGAGACATGGACAATGCCGCCATTCGTAGCGAAAAAGCACTCGAAACGCGAAAAGCGAAACGCGGCGGCATCTCTGGGCCCGGGGGTCGGTGGGCTTCTTACCTGGGTTTGAGTACACCGGGGGAAGTTGGCACGTTTATGGGGAAAACAATTTGTAACGACTATCGCCGTTTGATAAATTAACATTTAGCGGCGGCTCGATTATGCAACAAATTGCCAATTGAATTGAAATTGACAGCCGACGAAGGCAGTCGTCGCACTGAAGAGGCCAATTCCGAATTAGCCGCGACGATGCCACCATTCCTCCGCTCGAATTTGTAAGTGCAAGTGATTAATTTGGTTTCGTTTGACACAGTTTACACATGTAAGTGGACGACAGGTGAAGATTCCTGCTCCAGAGCTCCATAGCTCCAGAGCTCCAGAGATCCAGTGACCAGCCACATGCCGAGTGGCGCTTTGGGGTTTGGGAACTAATTTCTTAAACGGTTTGCCAGTAATCCTATGCTGCCATCAGCGGGACACATTAGTTCCGTTCCCATAGTTTACTTAAGGCCAAGTGCCCCGCTCGCTTTATGGTCGTGTTTTACAATGCTAAATGACCGCGCCGGGCATAAAATTTCCCATTACACATTGGGCCGGTCCAATCAGTAGGCCCGGGTAAATTAATCGCATCACGGCGAGATGGAGAGTTCTGTCCCGGAGATCCAAGATCCTTGGCTCGCTTGTGAAGCGATCTCGTTTATGGGTCATAAACCATGGGATCCCGCCACTCGACATTCCCCTGGTCATTGTCTCGGTCTCAGTTTGGTTTCGGGATTGGGATCGGGATCGGATGGGATCGGATCGGATTGGATCGGTCACCAGCGGCGAGGATATACGACAGTTAACTTATCTTGCATCCACTTAACGTCTTGCGGCCATAAATCAATCCAATGGCCGAATGCTCGATGGCAGCCAGCAGGCGAATTAATCACTTTGGAAATTGTTACCCATTTGGAAACTTGTCGCATTTGCTTCAGTCTCTTCTCGCGACCCGTTTCCAAGTACCAGAGAGACTGGATTTTGAGTGGACTCTGGGACTTTGGGACTGGGGACTGACTCGTGTGTGGGCAATCCTTCAACACCATGTGAAAATCACGGTAATTTATTATTGACAGTCGCAGTAGTAGGTACCGAGTTGTATTTGTGATTAGTTACCTTCTTTATGCTTAGATCCCAGATGCTGCTTGGGGATTTGGGCAGTCATCATCATCATCATGGTCAAGTGGCATCAAGGGGCTGAAGCCTCTTACAAATGTCACGGAAACATTTCTCATCTAGTCAAAGTGAATGGCACATCAATTTCTTTCATGCTTTTTTTGTTAAAAGTGTCGAAAACGGTAAGCGATTAAGTTGATTTAATACCAACGCTGCTTTTGGACTATAAAAGTCATATTAAAAACAGAGAACTTATGGGGATTTAATCGTCATTCATTAGGCTTGGACAAATAAGTTGGGATTTCGTGGGCATCAAGACAAAATTAGGATGGAGAAAGAAATTCAAGAATTAATATCTTTTAGCTAAGAAAAACTTTAACCAAAGAAATTATTTTATCAAGAAAATTAATGATTATAAAGGATTCTATATAGAAAATGAGCTGATCTATTAAAAATTGAATAATAATGTCAATTAAAGAAGCTAAACTTTCTTTTATAAGCAAATATCTAGGCTAACTCAAGATATAAATAAAGATAAATTATTCAAGAAAAACCTCTCACTGCCTGACTTTTCTCTATAACTTGTGCAACTCTTACAGAAATAAAATAAAAATAAATCTTCTAAATACAAATAGCTTAAACTCATGGAATACTTTTAATTCAAAAAGTCACTGTACCGTAGCTGTGAGCAAATATGTTGTGTACATTTCTAGTGCTAACCCCTTTTCTTTGTTATTCCGTTAATTCACAAATATTTAAGCCAAACAAAAACGCACAATGTTCGTGTGTCTTGAGCATAAACTATAGAAATCTGAAAGGCTAAGCCAGGGCTTTCTCTTATCCAAAGCCTGCTTAAACACTCGAAGCTGCTTAAGCAATTAGTTGGCATTCAACGTTATTGATCCGGAAATTGTGTGTGTGTGTTGTGGGTTATATATTTTATTTAATTTTCACAAATTTTCATATTAATCGCAAATATTCACACTCAATTATAAAATACCAAAGAACACAAATTTGCCCCCGAACATAATGAAGGGAAAATTCCTTGAGACATGCCGACATTCTGCTGGAATAGACAGCCAACCCAGAAGGATGAGGTATTTTTCGGTGGTGGATGCTGCTACTGCTACTGCTGCTGCTGCTCCAAGATGCTACAAGAATGCAAAGTGTCATTTAAGTGAAACAAGACGAGAACAAACACACACAGCATCCTTGGAGCTTCGAAGGAGGATGCCTTTCCCCAGGCCACCGAGAGAACCAACCCTTTGCCATTGCATCCTCGACCACGCAGCTTACTTACGCAGCTTCTATAAATTATAGCTGCCGCTTGTCATGTACGGAAATCCTTGTGTCAGTGCAGCCAGGATTCAGGATCTCCAGTCCCGAGACTCTGGGCACCAGCCTCTACACACTGGTCTCCGGCTTCTGGCTACTGGCTACTGGCTTCTGGCTTTGACAGAGCCCAGGCTGGGCGATACGTTTGTTTTCAACAGGATTAGAAATTCGTTGCAACGCACAAAAGCCTCAGGAACAATTCAAGCAGACACATCTCGCAACTATAACAATTAATATCCTGGAAATTGCATCGTGACATGAGTGTGTAGTCTGTCTATTCCGGCTGCCTGCCAAAGGATCTGTGCACACGAGGGCGTATACTTGATGGCGTATGCTAATTTCCCTAATGCCATCCTCGAGATTCGGTGTGTGTTGTGTGTGTGAGACTTAACTCATTGAGCAGCAACCCCTGAAGCATGTCCTGGGTTTGCCTTAAAAGGAAGTCGGTCTTAAGAAAATTATTTAATTAAGTGTAGTACGTTTAGCAGTATTTTGATTACTAATATAAGATAATAGTAATACTACAAAGAACAACTTCCCCACTAATATTATTAATTATAAAACAGAGTTTTATATTTTTTAAGAAGCTTTTCTAGGAGACAATGTGTGCGATTTGTCAATGGATTGTCTTTTTCTTTGAATAATTGATTACAGCCAACCAAAGACATTTCATCATCATCTATTACGATCCACACGCCCCGGCTTAGAGTCATATTTAATGGACATGTATTGTGGCCGATCAATCATGACCATACCTCCATGGATCTCTCTATGTGTCTGCTATCCCCTCCAAAACAAAATATGTCTTAAAGAAATCCAAAAATGAGGGGAAACTAAAAGCGCCCACGATATGTGGGACCAATGGCCAACTCTGTCAAGGCAGCTGATTATTCCCCGGCATAGACACTCGCGTATACAAATGTATATTTAGACAACTGCCAATGATAAGACAAGCTAAAATAATTATGACCATTAGGCCACATTAGGCACTGGTGTTGGGATGTCTCCCCTCGATCGTGGCCACCTTGTGGGATAAATACTTGAGATTTCCCTAAAGATATTGGTCTGGGGAAGGTGTTTAAATAGCGACACAATTTTAATGGCCTGTTTTTTCCGATATTCAATTGTGGGTCCAAGAAAACTGAAGGTTAGATAAGCCTAGGAATATATTGTAAGTTAATAACTAATAAACATGTATTTAAATATTTTTTGTTTCTAGAAGAAGAAATATATAATTTGAGACAAAGAGTAATAGTTTCAAACAATTGT